AGCTTCTCCCAGGGTTTCCCCTAAGACCTATTGGAAGTGAGACCATCCTTTAAAAATTAGTTTTCTGACATAGCCACTTTTGCTCCAGTCTCTACCCTCTCCTTTACAAGGAAGTTTAGTGGTAAATCAGCCAATGAGAAATTACTAATCTGTGCACCTGAGCTTTCCTATTTGCAAAAGGCAAAGAATGCTAGCTTTCCTCTCCTCTGTGGAGCAAGAGTAAGGCATAGCCTAAGAATGTGCCAGTCCTATCCTGGTCCCAGCACAGAGCAATTCCTTGGTGCTTTTCCCAGTCCTGGTCAGCCTAGAAGAATATGACCCCGGTGGTCAGATGACACTCTCTTCTCAGTCATCTGCCAGGCTGTAATACCCTAAAGCCATTATTCCCTCTTGCCTCCTCAAACAAATCAGCAAGGTTGGCATCAGGAGTTTGGGGAGTGGAAAGTATCTGGTCAGAGGGTGATAACATAGTGTGGTAAATCTCATGCCAGTGGGCTCAGGCATTCACTTACATGTCATTCTCTGATTTGTCCTCTTTGGCCCTCTCCCCTTAGGTCAGCTGTGAGCAGCTGAAGTCGCCAATATTTCCCAGATGATCGATTTCACAGACTAAGAGCATGCAGCACAATGGACATTAAAACATAATGAGCCTTTTTGGATGTTTCTTGCTTTTCATAATCTGACAGACAAACCCTTCTCTTTCGATCTTTAGGACGTGATATAAAATCTATTTGAATCCGGAAATACCACTCTTAAAAATCAGAAATGACCTCTGGCCACAGTATCCATTATTAAGCACCCCTCGAGATACTTGAGAAAAGAGCAATAAGCATTCGCCACAAAACCACTCAGCTCATAGCAAAGGGTTCCCCAGCAATCAAGAGACAAATGAGCAGCTCTTCCAACTAAGGGCATCCCTTGATCTCGGCCTCACCCTTTCCTGTCTTTTATCAGTTGCTAAGAGAAAAAAACAGTCAACATAAACTGAGTTGCAGTGTTGGCCTGGGTATAGATTCTCTGAAGGCTTTCCTTGAAAGCAACTAGAGGGAATCAGAAATTGATATAAAAAATTTTTTTTAATTAACAAAAAAACTCAAGGAAATGGACAAGTGTTGATTTGGAGAAGAAACTGACAGGAAAAAATCTCAGAGAACAGTGGCAAATGTGTGGCTGGATCATCAGGGAATACAAGGCAAGAGCACTAAATGAGAACATGTATAAAAGAAGAAAGCTAGCTCATGTCCACTTAAAACTGGAAATCTGGATTTAAATTTTAAGTTGATGATGATACTAGATGAAAACAGTAAAGAGCTAAGGAAGCTGTTCACACACACACATGTGTGTGTTCTGTATGAGTCTGTTCAGAAACAGGCAAAATTAAGCTATAGTATTTGGGATACTATGTCGGTGGTAAAACTATAAAGAAAAGCAAGGAAGGGATTACCATAGGTCAGGATAGGGTTACATTTAGGAAACTTTTGGGCGCTGCAATATTCTATTTCTTGACTTGGGTGGTGATTATACAGGTGCTTGCTTTAAAATCATTTGCTATGCATTTGTGTTTATGAGATTTTTATTTCACGATTTAAAAAATAAGTTAAAAAATAAAAAATATTCCAAGTACATAAGATTAGCATTATATTAAGAAGCTTTAGCAGTTTAGCAAAAAACTAGAGCCAATACCAGAATAATTCATGCAAGAGAAAGCAAACATGGTTATTTAAATAAAAGGCACTCCTCTCCCAGCCTAATTTTATGGTTTGCTTTGGTGAGGAGACTCAAAGTCTACATATACAAAACCATACTAGCAAACCACCCAGGATGATATATAATGTAGCATACCTACCAATCAGAAAGTGTGTACAACTCTTTGTCCATGCTCACATTTCCTTACTATCACTATTTACAGAGCACTCTCACATACCTTAACTCACAGCCAAGGGCTGGTGCTATCCCCACTGTAGAGAGTTTTTTTGAAAGTAGCCTCATACAGTGGGAGGTTCACCCCAGGAACAGCTCAAGTAAGAAGCAGACACCAGACCAGCACCAGATCTCAGATGTCCACCCCAGTGTCCCTTTATGGCAATGGCTTCCCCATTCCCAAGAGGTGAATGGGCTCACAATTTTTTCATGTGTTAATAAGGAGCTGAAGAGAAACAAGTAAATTACTGTCAGCATGAAAATGTTACCTCTTCTGAGTCACTTTCACTTTTCAATTAAAGCACCTGCCAAGCGCATTATAAAGATTAGCTTCTCTCAGTAGACCATGAACACCTTGAGAATAGAGCTTGCCCTCTCATTTCTGAGGTGTTTGAACAGTTTCTGGAAATGATACGTGCTCTTTAAACATGTGCACACACCATAAATAAATAACATAAGTAATAAATAAATGAATGAATATATGACGGTAAAAACCAGTGAATTCAAAGTTTGGTGCTTTCCACCCCATAAGACTTTTTAAAGCAGCTAAAATGAAAGGCAGTAACTGCCCTTTTAACAGATTGCCAATACATCCACCACTACTTAAAAAAAGATTTCATGTCATATATAAATCTCAGAAGAGGAGAGGGCTGACAGGTTAATTATAGACACAAAGAACAGAGACAAATGGACGATGAGGTAAGCGAGTTGAAATGTGCAGAGGCAATGTCCTCCCTGGACAAGCATTTATTAATAAGCCTGAAAGGATTTACCCAGCCTGGCCAGGTACAGGTCTGCACCAAGCTTGGGGGCCAGGGCCCAAATCTGGGGAAGGAACAGTTCTTAGATTGAGGAATTCGGCTGGTGGCTGGAAAGGCAGTGTGTACCTTTGAGAATAATCAGAGGTCTCTGTGGGACAAGGCAAACAGGTGGAAGATAATGCCCTAAAAATGGCCCACCTACTCTTTTGGGGGTGAGATAGTCAGAGAAGACCTTCTCACTGGGCCAGGCCAACATGGAAAGAAGCATGGGTAGAACTGTGGCTGGCAGACAAGTCAAGAGAAGCCACCAATTCTTCTCCTGCACCTCCCACCAAACTCCTTAGGCCGCTAGAGGCAGGGGCTTGAGTCAAAAGGATCCATAAGGATTATTCCCCTTCTTCTCTACCCTCCCCCCGAGTAAAAAGAAGGATGTTGGCTGGGGGTGGTGGCTCAGGCCTATAATCCCAGCACTGTGGGAAGCCAAGACTGTTGGATCATGAGGTCAGGAGTTCAAGACCAGCCTCACCAACATGGGGAAACCCCATCTCTACTAAAAATGCAAAAATTAACTGGGCATTGTGGCATGCGCCTGTAGTCTCAGCTACTCAGTTGACTGAGGCAGGAGAATCGCTTGAACCCAGGAGGCAGAGGTTGCAGTGAGCCGAGATCATGCCACTGCACTCCAGCCTGCTGGGCAACAGGAGCAAGACTCTGTCTTAAAAAAAAAAAAAAAAAAAAGATGTTTAGAAGGCCTGGGAAACAAGCTGAAGGGCAGCTTCAGCAGGCAGATGGGCCCAAGAATGGAATGTGCCACCTCCAAGCAAGGAGTGGCCAGGGATGGGGAGAAAGGGGACTTTCTTTTCTCCCTTTTCTCATTCGAGGTATTTATTGAATCTCTTCTTGGTGCCCAAGCACTGAATGTGAGTGATCATCTCTCAGTGGGACATCAATCTTGTGTTTGGCCAGATTAAATGACCAAAACCAGGACCTCTGAACACTGAGTCTGGGTCTCCCTGGGGATTTCACTTTGTTAGGGGGCAATGGTTCTGGCGGCCCCTGATTCAACGTGAGCCCTTCTAAATAGTCGAGGCCCCTCTGAGATTTCAAGCACCACCACCCCACCCCAGTATCTACTCCTGCCCTGAGGAAAAGGGCTGGTGCTGGGAGGGGGAGGAGATAATCTGGGAATTCTAGGAAAAAGGACGGCATGGCCACGGCAGAGGGGAGAATGACCGAGAGGGTTTACTTGAGTTTATTTGTTGTGTTTATCTCCAAAATCCAGTACATTTTCCAAAAGGCATTCGAGGGGCGAGCCTCGGCTGTGGATCAAGTCCAAAGAGGGGAAAACCAGTTTTTTCCGTTGTTTTTTGTAGGTTACTCTCACCCTCCACCCCAGTAAACTTCCCACCCACCCCACCTCACTTTCCAGGTCTTTCCTGTTGCTTTCGGCTGCACTGCGATTTGGGAAGAAGGGAGAAGTGCCATCTCCCACCGCGCGGGATCTCCGGGGACCCTGTCTCCTCGCCGGTTGAAAAAGCACTAACACCCGCCCCGCCGCGCTTCCGGGGCCAAAGAACGAAAACTGCCCTCTTTTTGCTGGCGGACACGGAGCGCGCCCGCGGCTGGCGGGCCAGCCTGAGAGCGCAGCCTCGGCGAAGGAGCGGCGGGGAGCGGCGGGGCTCGGGCGCGCGGAAAGCGCTCAGCTCACAGCTCACCTGGACGCGCCCCGCTGCAGTCCCGACTCCGTCCCGGACGGCGCGCGCCGGGCCCGGGTCTCCCCGTGTCCCCTCCCAGAGCGCCCCACTTCCACGCGCGTCCCAGCTGCTCTTACCCGGGAAACGGCGAGAGGCTGCTCGAAGTCCTTGCCGCCCACGAGGCGAAAGCCCCACGGCCCCGGGCCCTTGAGGACTATCTGCTGGGTGGTCATGGCGCGGCTGTGGCGGGCGACGACCTGCTGTGACAGATGGGCAGGACGCGGCACGGAGTGCAGGGCTCCCCCGGCAGCTGTCGGAGAAAGAGCTGGGCGGCCCGGGTCCGGGGAGCCTGGGGCTGGCGGGGGCAGGGCAACCGCGAGGGCCAGGGCGAGGGCGGCTCCGCCCAGGCCGCGTCGCCGCCAGCCGCCCCGCCTGTACTCCCGCCCGCAGCCGCTCCCCGCCCCGCGCGCCGGCCTAGGGGCCCCGGCCCGGAGTCCCGCCGAGAGAGCCCGAGTCAAATGCGGGGCCGGGGCTCTCTGCAGCTCCGCCCAGGATTCCACACCGCCTCCCTCCTTCCTGCTCGCACGGCCGCACCGCGGCTCTTGGCCAGGGCAGGTGCTAGGTGAGAGGGAAGCAGGTACCAACAAACTCGCACCTGGTTGCTTTGTAAAATGAGAATTTTTTTAAGTGCTGTATCAAGTCAGCCCTCTGAGGTCAGCTCCGACTTCCCATTTGCTTTTTGTAAACGGTAATGATGTTTAAAAGGTGCTTTCAAATGATCTCATTTGATGCTGAGGCAATCAAGGCGTTTAGTCCCATTTTACAGATGAAGTAACTGAGTCTGCCTGAGGCGAGAAGACTTGCCTGAGGCTACACCCCTCGTCAGCATCTGGACCACTGCCCCTGCCCTGTGCTACAGAACCCCATCCTGGAACTTTCATAATGTTGATGAGACCATCGCACAGGTTATAACTGAACTTCAAGACCTTCCTAGAAATCTTTCCTCCAGACTGGAGTTCGCTGTAGGTTCTGACTTCAACAATTCAAACCTCAAGTTTGGGGCGGTCCAAGGGCTACGTGCAAGAAAAGAGCTGAGTCTGGATACCTGGATTCCCAGCCTGCCACCAGCTTTCTAGCCAGGCTCCCTGACGCCCGCCCGGTAGAGCGCATTCTCCACGCCGGACCAGACGGTGTCTCATGCTGCCCTTGGCATCCCCACCTCACTACAGGTAAAAACCCAGATCCTTACAATGCCTACAGGGCCACCCCTAGAATGGCCCCAACTCCTCCCGCCCTTTCCCCACCTGCCCCCAACTCTGCCAGGCGATCCTCTTTGCTCCTGACTCAGGGCCCTGTCTGCAATGCTCTTCTCCCAGACATCCCCACCATTCTCAGTGTTCACATGTCATTTTCCAGGGCCTGGACACTGAGCCATGCCTGGAATCCCGGCACTTTGGGAGGCTGAGGCAGGAAGATTAGTTGAGCCAAGGGATTCTAGATCAGCCCCAGCAACGTGGCAAGACCCTGTCTCTACAAATAAAAATTAAAAATTAGCAGGGTTTGGTGGCTCACACCTGTGGTCCCAGCTACTCGGGAGACTGAGGTGGGAGGATGGCTTGAGCCCTAGAGGTCAAGGCTGCAGTGAGCTGTGGTCATACAACTGTACTCCAGCTTGGGTGACAGAGTGAGACCCTATCTCAAAAAAAAAAAAAAAAAAAAAAAAAAAAGGGCAAATGTCATTTTCCAAGGCCATCTCTGAGCACCATTTGAGATATTCTCTTTAGAATGCTCTATTACCTTCCCCTGCCTAATTTTTTTCCTTTGTATTTATCACCATCTGACATACTCTATATTTTTGTATTTATTTGTTCCACCTCCACTCTTCAGCATTAATTCCATAAGGAGAGGGGTTTTTATCTGTTTTGATCACTGCTGTGCCCTAGTACCGAGAATAGTACCTGCCACATAGTACTTAATGGATGTAACACGTTGGCCATCCTCAGGACCACTTACCCTCTCTGGGCCCAGTTTCTTCGCAGTTTTCTTGGCTCCCATTCATCCTGGCACCCAGGTCCCAGCATAGAGCTTGGCATAGAGCACATGTTCAATGAGTTTGTTCAGTGCACAGCTCTGTCTCCTTGTGATTCTGGCCTACCTACTGAGGAGCCCTACGCACAGATTTACACGTAAAAAGATGATCTTGCTTGTCCCATTGTGTCACAGCATAAATGCCTATGTTCAGGAATAGTTTGTTTGCTTTTAGAAATTAAAACACAGTTACATTATGACACAGCCCTCTCAACTTCCTGCATCCTGATACTCTTTCCTAAACCTGAGAAAAATGAATGATGTTACAGCCAGTCACCAGTTACGTGCTTTATGAACACCAAAAATACATTATCTTTGTTCCAGATTCTGTTGATTAGAAAGCATGATAGTGTTTCAGGTCCCTGCAGAATTTGCAGGAATCACCAAATGCTGAATCTCTCCTTAGATGTGTAACCATCTTGAATATTTTCTGTCCTTATAGGAGAAAAAGGATGAAAAGTCACAGCTTCTGTGCTTCTGAGGGCAGAGACTATCTTTCATTTATTCCAAGTGCCCTGCTAGCACGGACTTCAATCATAGTAGGTGTCAATAAGTGTTTATTTCATACAATAGTCTATACAGAAGGCCGGGTGCGGTGGCTCACGCCTATAATCCCAGCACTTTGGGAGGCTGAGGCGGGTGGATCACGAGGTCAAGAGATCGAGACCATCCTGGTCAACATGGTGAAACCCCATCTCTACTAAAAATACAAAAATTAGCTGGGCATGGTGGTGTGAGCCTGTAGTCCCAGCTACTCGGGAGGCTGAGGCAGGAGAATTGCTTGAACCCAGGAGGCAGAGGTTGCGGTGAGCCGAGATCATGCCATTGCACTCCAGTCTGGGTAACAAGAGCGAAACTCCGTCTCAAAAAAAAAAAAAATAGTCTATACAGACATAGTGTGTTAGTATGTTAGCAAAAGATCTGTGAGACTTGAGTCCTCAGTTGCTTTGTTGTTAAATGTTCTCAGTTGCAATCTGGCTCTACATTGCAAGAGCTGTAAAACAGTCAACCCTTTGACCCAGTCATACACTTTCTGGTCAACAATTCCAAGGACATAATTTTTAAAAAGAAAAATACTGTATTATACAGATATTTATAGCTGCATTATTTATAATGACAAAAAAACTGGACTCAGCCAGTAACAGAAAAGTGGCTAAATATGGTATGGCTGTAAGAGGGAAGAGTATACAGCATGAAAATGATAACAACCATGAAGGCTATGAAGAGACAGGGAAATGTGTTTTCAACATATATAAAAAGAGTGGAACAAAATTATTTGTATCCTATGTTAAAAAAAATAATTGTGAAGCCAAGGTGCATCGATCAACTGAGGACAGGAGTTTGAGACCAGCCTGACCAACATGGAGAAACCCCATCTCTACTAAAAATACAAAATTAGCCAGGCATGGTGGCACACGCCTGTAATCCCAGCTACTCGGGAGGCTGAGGCAGGAGAATCACTTGAACCTGGGATGCAAAGGCTGTGGTGAGCCAAGATTGTGTCACTGCACTCCAGCCTGGGCAATAAGAGCAAAACTCCATCTCAAAAAATAAAATTAAAATAATAAAATCATATCTACCTATTGAAATTAAGAGAAAGTAGAAGACTACGGGCAGACAGAATGAGAACTTTTTAAAAATAATTGCCTCTAATAATGATGTAAATTTTCAAAATAAACATCAAAATGGTCCCAGCTCCTTGGATGGAGACTAACTGCTAGTCTTTCTCAGGATAAAGACCTGATCATTTATCCTTTTTTTTTTTTTTTTTAAGATGGGTTCTCACTCTATTGCCCAGGCTAGAGTGCAGTGGCATGATCTCTGCTTAATGCAACCTCTGCCTCCCAAGTCCCAGTGATTTTCCTGCCTCAGCCTTCCAAGTAGCTGGGATTACAGGCACCACGCCTGGCTAATTTTTGTATTTTTAGTAGAGATGGGGGTTTCACCATGTTGGCCAGGCTAGTCTAGAACTTCTGACCTCAAGTCAGGAGTTGGCCTCCCAAAGCGCTAGGATTACAGGTGTGAGCCCCTGCACCCAGGCTCCATTTATCTTCTTTATCTCTTCTTCTCTCCCCCAGCCAGCTAGCTCTGAACTGGGCACACAGCATATATACTCAAAAAATACCCAGAAGCAGATTAACAGCCCTAACCCAAAAATATAAACCATCTGCTCTTACCTTAAACACCATTACTTATTTATTCATGCTTTCCAGTTCCCTCAGACCCTGGATTCCTGCCCAGTGCTAGTTGAATGGCCTTAAGCAACCTCTCTGAACTTCAGTTTGCCTTATTTGTATAATTACAACATATTCCATGAAAGTTTGTTGACCTAAACAGCCTCCATTCAACATCTGGGTATTCGCGGGCAGGCAGGGGGAATGAGGAGAAATAGAAGCAAGGTGGGTGGAAAATTCAAGGGTGGGACAGTGGTCTCTCCAGCTCTCAGTCCAGTTTTACAATGTGAACTGGGTGGGAAATGGTTGCTGCCCTGGCTCCCCCAGCCTGGCCTCTGCAGAGCTGGCAACCCCCACACGCAGGGTGCAATTGCCAGGACCCTTTAGAGCCACTGTGTGGTGACTGCTTCCTGGAACAACAGCCCCCTTTCTTAAAGACAGTGAGTCTAGGATTGTGCTCAGCTTTACAATGAGTCTCGTTGACTCTGCAGGACAAGTCCTGGACTTGCCCAGGTAACTCAACGAAGGCCTACTGGGACCAAGTGAAAGCATGTGACTCCTGACTGGGAGGTAGGCTCTGGGATCTAAGTGAGGCCTGGCTCTACCCAGCCAGCCAAAGAACCAGCGGAAGCTCTGGTTTCACTGTGGCTGATCGCGGATAGTGCAGCGCTTCTCACGTCTCCAAACTGGTGCAACTGCCTGCCGTGGGCGCCCTGATCAAACAAGTAACTTGCTTCTCTTTCCTGTGAAAAGAACTGAAACTCAGGCTCAGAGCCTCGCAAAACAAAGAAATCTTTACCCGCCCGGTGCTATCCTGTGTCACCCCACTCCCAGAGTCTGCGCGTCTTTGATGGAGCCCCCCTCGCCCAACTCGTCGCAGCGCCGCTCAAGGCAGCTGTCTGCGTGGGAGACGCGGTAGGGAGAGGTTCTCCCGGCGCCAGCGACTTATCAGGGAATTGAGCTCCCAATCCTTTTCTCCCGCTTTCCACTCCAGCTTGGGAAATCTTGAAGTGGCCACTGGGGATTAGGTGCCTCTGGGATTCCAATTGCCCAAAGCATGCTCCGTGGGCGTCTGGACATAAAGACACCTACCTGGGCACAGACCTGGCTGGCATTCCCTCAGGACTGGTGAGGTGTGAGCAGATGAACTGCCACATCTGAGGCCTGCCGAGTGCCTAGTAGAAAAAGAACTGAGGGGTGAGTCCAAGGGCCATACCTAGGTCACCCACCTTCATCCTGGTTCCCATTCCACTAGGACAGGTGGTACTGGTACTCTCAAAAGTAGAGAGAAACTTGGGCCACAATGTCTCAAGCATCCTTGAATATCAAAAGGAGAAGAAATTCCAAAACAGGATCTTAGATAGGGTGGCTCATATTCAATGCTTATATTTAAAAAAAAAAAAAAAAAAAAAAAGTCATATATTAGTATTAATGAATTAGGCCAGGCACAGTGGCTTACACCTGTAATCCCAGCACTTTAGGAGGCCAAGGCAGGAGGATCGCTTGAGCTCTAGAGTTCAAGACCAGCCTGGGCAACATAGCAAGACCTCATTTCTACAAAAAATACAAAAGTAGCTGGATGTGGTGGCACATGCCTATAGTCCGGGCTACTCAGGAGTCTGAGGTAGGAGGATTGCTTGAGCCCAGGAGGTTGAGGCTGTCTTGAGCCTTGATTGTGCCACTGAACTCCAGCTTGGGTGACAGAGGGAGACCCTGTCTCAGAAAAAACAGCAAAATGAAACAAAAAAAAGCAGTGACTGTAAGTCAGAATATGTACTAAGTACTCTACAATGCATTTCAATTGCATTTCATCAGACAAAAGCCCAGTGAAGTGTCATCAGGCACTTTTCACAAAGGAGAAGGCTGAGGCACCAACGCACCGCCCAGAACCCTCTTCATGAAAGGATCCGTCCCAGGTGCTAGGAGGTAGACATCCTTCAGCATTTAGTTATTTTAGGGACTGTCTCTACTACAGAGCAGCTTTTCCCAAAAGCACACCTTCCCTAGGCTGCCTGCACGGCTCACACATCATCTAGGTGGGGGTGAAAGATTGGCCAGATAGGCATAACATGGGACAACTCTGATGGGACGTTTTGACTCCAGAGATCCCCATGGAATCAGTCAAGGCTGTCAGGCTTACATGGCAACTCTTTTTCTCTGCCCAATCCATCCTCCTCCCTGCTGCTTTCTTCCGTGGGTGTTGAGCCTGAGAACCTTCTTTAATAAACATCCTGCATGATAAACTGTCTCTGGGACCAGGAAATCCAGCCTGCAACAGGCCCAGAGACTAAGAGACTTCCCTAAAATCACTCAGTAACCAAGGAACAGGGCAAAGGAGGAAGGAGCAGGGCTGGAGAGGCAGGGGAAGAGCTATTCAATGTGAAGGGCTTTGTAACAGAGCAGAAGGTTATTCAGAGGACCTCCTAGGACCCCAGGAGACCCTTCAGGTCCACGACTTATGGAGGTCCAAAGGGCTAAATCTTCCTTCTCTACTAGCAGGGATGCCCACAGCCCAAGTGTCAGCAGCTAGGAATTAGACTAGATCCTTTCAGGGATGGCTTTTTCCATTTCCTCTATGGAGGAAGTGGAATTTGAAACATACTTTAAAAGTATGAGCAACTGTGGAGGCAGAAAAGCCATACAAGCAGCAGGGACAGAATGAGCAGGGTAGTGGGAAGGGAGCGGGATGGCCTGGTGGAATAATATTATTGATGAGGAAAAGCTGGAAATTTTGCTGGGGAGGGCTCTGAATGTCAGTTATCTGATGTGGATGCAGTGGGGACAGGCAAAGGCTTTCCGTCAGCCACTCTCATTCTACCAATACACTCTGTCTCTGTAACTCCATCCTCCCCCACCAATCTATTTCCTCTCAGGGTTTGCTTGTGCTGCTGGCCTGGTCTGACCATAGCTGATACTGAAGCTGACTATTTATAGCGTTGGAGGACAGATAGAGTGGCAAGGCCAGTTTCCATGACACCAGGGCTCCTAGAGGGTGACTTCCTCTCTGCTGGGTCCTCACTCACCTTGTCTGGGTCCACATTCTCTCCGGTTACCTCCAACACTGCTTCCAGTGTCATTCCTTGGGTGGCATCAGGGCTACTGCTAGGTGAGAACACAGCAGTAAACCAGCTAGCAGTGACAATGCTGGCTCCAGGTACCACCACCATTTCCCCCTCTCCTCCCATCTTCACACTAGGGCACATACCAGGCTGTAACTCAGCCATCACTGCTGGGTAATGTGGGTCTGGGGTCCTCTTCCACCCCCAGGCCTGCCCACCTAGCTTCTGCCTTCAACTGCTACCTACTGACCACCTGAAATTATGAATCCCAGAGGGTAAGAAGACAAGATACAAATGACAGAGGTCTGAAGATAGAAGAGGACAGACAAAACAATAAAGGTGGAAAAATCACAGTGAAGATACCTATTAATACTATCCTAGCCAGATTTAGCTCTTATTTGGAGTCTTCCAAGCATGGTTAAAAGAAAAAAGAGTTCTTCCATTTGTCAGCTATGAGGATTTGACAAGTCATTTAGCCTGCTAGAGCTATTTCTTCATTGTCTTTTAGTCAACAACTATTTATTGAATGCTTTCCATTGGCTATACACTGTTTCATGTATTAGAAAATCAACAGCAAACAAAACTGACCAAAATGTCCTCCCTTGTGAAGCTTACATTTTAGTGTAAGGGGCAAACAATAAAATAAATAAGTAAACTATATGGTATGTTTTGTATATGTACGTTCATCTAGGTGTGTATGTATTTATACAAGTATGTACATGAATATACAGGTATATGTATATGTATTTGCATGCATATGTTTTTCATCCCAAAAGGCCTAAAAGCAAAAATATTCCAGAGCAATTTGCACACCCACTACACATACCTTGATTTCTAAATAAAAAGGAACCATGCCCCCTCAGAGAAGTTCCAGAATAGGTAGCTGTGGCAGGATAGGTACAAGATGAGCCTGGAATAGCTTATTATGTATAAAGTAAGAAAGTACTTTAAAAAGCAAAAAGTGATGGGGGCATGTTAAAGGACTCAGAAGCCTGGCCTCAGGGGGCTCCCAGTGGCCACATGTGTGGCAATTTGAACACTAAAATGATACAGAATTGGCCAGGCTTGGTGGCTTCTACCTGTAATCCCAGCACTTTGGGAGATCAAGGCAGGCAGACCACTTGAGATCAGGAGTTTGAGCCCAGCCTGGCCAACATGGTGAAACCCTGTCTCTACCAAAAATACAAAAGTTAGCCAGCCATGATGATGCATTTATGTAATCCCAGCTACTTGGGAAGCTGAAGAAGGAGAATTGCTTGAACCCTGGACAACAGAGGTTGCAGTGAGCCAAAATCATGCCACTGCACTCCAGCCTGTGCCCACAGAGCGAGACTCCATCTCGAAGAAGAAGGAGGAGGAGAAGGAAAAGAAATTATAACCCATTTGAGAAAATAAGAATCCACAAGTCCACACAGATAATAAATTGATGAAAGGGTGGATGGATGGATGGATGGATGGATGAAAAGCGAGTGTTCTTGATTACAGTAGAACTAATATGCCAAGTGATAAATGTAGGGGGAGTGAAGGAGTTTCAAAAGCATCATTTGGCAACCATAATAGGAAAGATTGCTTAGACAAGAATTATCACTACAGGTGGTGCATACCTGTAGTCCCGGCTACTCAGGAGGCTGAGGTGGGAGGATCACTTGAGCCTAGGGAGTTGAGGCAAATCCAAGGTTTGATGATGAACGGGATGCTTGTATGGTCTTAAATATCTCCCTACAGATTGCTTATTCGATGCAATGGAAAAAACAGCAATGATGTGTCTTAGTCTGTTGGGGCTGCTCTAACAAAAACACCACAGACTGTTTAGCTTATAAACAAAAGAAATTGATTTTTCACAGTTTAGAGGCTGAGAAGTCAAATATCAAGGCACTAGGGGATTATCATGTAAGGGTCTTTCTCATAGATAGCATCTTCTTGCTATGTCCTCAAATGGTGGAAGAGGCAAACAAGCTCCCTTGGGCCTCTTTTACAAAGGCACTAATTCCTTTTTTTTTTTTTTGAGCTGGAGTCTCACTCTGTTGCCAAGGCTGAAGTGTAGTAGTGCGGTCTCAGCTCACTACAACCTCTGCCTCCTGGGTTTAAGCAACTCTTCTGCCTCAGCTTCCCAAGTAGCTGGGATTATAAGCATGCACCACCATGCCTGGCTAATTTTTGTATTTTTAGTAGAGATGGGGTTTCACCATGTTAGCCAGGCAGGTGTCGAACTCCAGACCTCAAGTGATTTACCCGCCTTGGCCTCCCAAAGTGCTGGTATTACAGGTGTGAGCCACCAGGCCCAGCAGTCTTTGACAAGGGCACTAATTCCATTGTAAGGATGGAGGCTTTATGATCTAGGCCTATCTCCCAAAGGCCCCGTCTCCAAATAGCATCACTTTAGGGGTTAGATTTCAACATAGAAGCTTTGGCAGGGACACAAATATTCTTTCTGTCTTAGTCTGTTTGTACTGCTATAGCAGAATACCTGACATTGGGTAATTTATAAAGAACAGAAACTTATTTTCTCACAGCTCTGAAGGCTGAGAGGGGAGAAACACTATGTCCTTACATGGCAGAAAGACAAGAGAACCAAACTCTGTGTGAAGCCTCTTTCATAAGGGCCTTAATCCCATTCATGAGGGAAGAGTCCTCATAACCTAATCAGTTCTTAAAGGCCCCATCTCTTAATACTATTACACTAGCCATTAAGTTTCACACCTGAATTTGGAAAAGAACACATTCAAACCGTAACATGGACTACAGCATGATACATGGCAAATTCCAACAATACCTTACCAGAGATCAAAATTAACATTCCCCTGAGGGGCAGAAGAACATCATGTAACTCAGACATGATACTTTGATAAGGACGCACCTTGTGCTACCTTCCAGGAAGGAATGAATAACCTGAATCTAATCATAAGGAAACATCAGACAACCCCCATTAATAAAATTGAATGTGGGTGGAACTATAGTCTTCAAAAAGGCAATGCTCTAAGACAAAGAAAGACTGTAGCTATGTTTCAGATTAAAGGAGTATAGGCTGGGCACAGTGGCTCAGGCCTGTGATCTCAGCACTTTGGGAGGCCAAAGCAGGCAGATCACTTGGGCCCAGGAGTTCAAGGCCATCCTGAGCAACATGGTAAAACCCCATCTCCACTAAAAATACAAAAATTAGCTGGGTGTGGTGGTGCACACCTGTAGTCCCACCTACTCAGGAGGCTGAGGTGGGAGGATCACTTGAGCCTATGGGGTTGAGGCAACAAAAAACAGAAATCATGCCAGTGAACTTCAGCCTGGGCAAGCGTCTGAGATCCTGTGTCCAAAAAGAAACCAAAGGAGAATGAAGAGATAGACAACTCAAGTGTAAATTTGATGCTCGATTTGATCCCATACTAGAGGGGAAAGCGCTATAAAAGACATTATTTGGCTGTGTGTGACAGTCCACACCTATATCCACGCACTTTGGGAGGCTGAGGCGAAAGGATTGCTTGAGGTCAGGAGTTCAAGACCAGACTGGTCAACATGGTGAAACCCCATCTCTACTGAAAATACAAAAATAGTTGAGCATGGTAGCAGGCACTGTAATCCCAGCTACTCAGGAGGCTGAGACAGAAGAATTGCTTGAACCAGGAGGCAGAGGTTGCAGTGAGCTGACATCTTACCATTGCACTCCAGCCTGGGCGACAGAGCGAGACTCCATCTCAACAAAAAAGAAAAAAGAAATTATTGTATCGATTGATGAAATTGGATGGAATAGATAAAATTGTTGTATCAATGAATGTTAAATTTACCGATTGATAACTGGACTGTGGTTATGTAAGAGAATATCTCTATCCTGAGGAAATTCACACTGAAGTATTTAGAGATAAAGTGCCACAATATGTGTAATTTAGTCTCAAATGGTTCAGAAAAATGTTATGTGTATGTGAGTGTGTGTGTTGAGGTCAGGATGGGCGTAGGGAGTAAATGAAACAGATGGGATAAAATATTAACAAAAAGGGGATGTGGGTAAAGGACACGTGGATACTGTTTCTACTGTCCTTATTCTTGTAACTTTTCTGTAATCTTGAATTTATTCCCAAACAAGATGTTTTTCATTATTATTATTTTTTTTTTTTTTGACGTAGAGTCTCACTCTGTCTCCCAGGCTGGAGTGCAGTGGTACAATCTTGGCTCACTGCAACCTCCACCTCCAGAGGTCAAGCAATTCTCATGCCTCAGCCTCCTGAGAAGCTGGGACCTACAGGCATACACCACAACGAATGGCTAATTTTTGTATTTTTAGTACAGACAAGGTTTTGCCATATTGGCCTGGCTGGTCTCGAACTCCTGATCTCAAGTTATCTAACTGCCTTGTAGCCACTGTGCCCAGACCATTATATATATATATAATTATGAAAGGAATTGTAACCCATTGGAGACAATAAAAATCCACAATCCATACAGATAATAAATGAATAAATGAATGGATGGATGCATGGGTAAGTGGCTGGATGGTCGAATGGGTGAGAAGCAAGTGTTCTTGCTTACAGTAGAATTCTAAATACCAACTGATAAATGTAGGGGAAGTGCAGGAGTTTCAAAAACATCATGTTGCAACCATGATATATATATTATATATATAAAATATTATTATATGTAATTATTAGAGACAGAATCTAGCTCTATCACCCAGACTGGAGTACACTGGCACAATCTTAGCTCACTGCAGCTGCAGCCTCAATCTCCTAGGCTCAAGTGATCCTCCTGCCTCAGGTAGGACTGCAGGTGCATGCTACCATGCCTAGCTCAAACAAAATGTTTTCTAAAAAAAAAAAAAATATACACACACACACAGTACAATCCATGCTGTTATGTTCCATGGAGAAAAACAAAGCAGGGTCAAAAATAAAGCAAATGCCAATAATAAGAGTAATGAAAGAAATCTTCTCTAGGAAAGTGATTTAAGGAAAGACTAAACAAGGTGAATGAGTAATCCATGGCGATATCTGGAGGACGAGCAGCCCATGTGGAGGAAATAATAAACTCAAAGATGGGAACAAGCCTGGAGCATTCACCAGCAATATGGCCAGTGGGGCTGGAGCTGAGGGAGTGTGGGAAAAAGTGGGGAAGAAGTCAGAGAAATAACAGTCTGACTGGGTGGCGCCTCGTGGGCATTTGAGAAGCACCAGGAGTAGGAGGGAAGGTCATGAGGGCTTTGTGCAGAAGATTAACATGGTCTGACTTGTGTTTTCAGCACTCTGATTGCTGTGTTGAAAACAGATGAAGGAGGCAAGCCGCAGAAGCAGGGGAGCAGTAACCGGCTGTTGTTATTGTCCAGAGGAGAGCTGATGACTGGCTTGGGCCCAGGTGGGAGTCGAGGAGTCTGTAGCAGTGCTTGGATTCTGGCTATATTTTAAAGCATCTGCTGAGGGATAGGAAGTAAGGTATAGGAGGGGTGTTTGAGGATGAGTCATATTTTTGGGCCTGAAAAGAAGTTACAGGATGGAACTGCCATTAACTGAAAAGGGGAAGCAGCAGCTTTTGGGGATACTGCTGAATTTAGGAATTTAGTTTGGGATATATTTAAGTTTCAGACACCCATGAGATATGTCAGTGGAGATGTAGAGCAGGCAGTTGTATACAGGAGTCGGGATTCCTGGGGAGAGTCCAGGCAAGAGATCAGCATATAGAGG